TTCCAAATGTTTTATCTGCTGCTATCAGTCGGAAATGTACAATGCTGCATCCCGGATATGGTTTCCTGGCTGAGAATGCATCATTTGTTGAAATGTGCAGAGAACACGGAATCAACTTTATTGGGCCTAAGGTAAAATACTTGAGAATGCATCATTTGTTGAAATGTACAATGCTGCATCGTTTGTTGTGTTTTAATTGCATTTATCTCACTCTAAATATGCCCTATGTCTTAGTGTGAATAGTGATTGATCCATTTAGGTCATGAACACATGGCTCTGTATTTAGTTACTCGTTAATTAATTCATGTACCGATGTGGGACAACTGTTTGCAATTTGGGTTACAGCCTGACAGCATCCGTGTTATGGGTGATAAATCGACAGCCAGAGACACAATGAAGAAAGCAGGTGTTCCAACTGTACCAGGAAGTGATGGATTACTAAAGGTATCTACTTTATCCTCAGTTATTATACATTTCAACACCTCCAGACCTAGGTGGTCATTTGAATTGATTTTGTGTTTATTGTTGTCATTTTTTTCTTTTTTGTCAACAGAGCACAGAGGAAGGAATCAGGCTTGCCGATGAGATTGGCTTTCCTGTTATGATCAAGGTAAAGTGTCTTGTCTTAATATATCTCATGATAATCAAAACTCATTATACCTTACTGTGTCTTAGAATTTGCGGTCCACACCCTTTCATGTTAACTCTGAAAATTCAGAAGTTAAAACATATTTCTTAAGCATCAAATTGAATTTTGTTTTTCAATAAAACCTTTTGACTTAATATTATAGACATTTATTAAGTATCAATTGTAAATGTGGTTAATTTAGAGGAATACATGCCTATTTATGTAGGTTAGTCTCTCAAGAATTTAAACTGTTTGATTAGGAAAGACAGAAGCCTACCCAGTAACCTTGCTATAGTGCTAGACTTTGACAATTTACTATCTCAATGAAGGTGAAGATAGTTTTTACGGGTTTTAAAATTTGAGTTTGAATCATGCATGGAGTGGCTAAGAAAGACTTGGCTTAATTCCTAGTACCTTAGGGAATTCGGACTGTTACCTCTGATCTCCGGATAAGGTCGTTTTCATCATTTGGCAGAAAAAATATAAACGATCTTATATGCTAGTATGGTATTTATCTATATTAATGAATCAAACATGAAAATTTTAAGAGTTGAATGAACTATAACACAGTTACGAGATGAATGGTTATTTTAGGATTCTGACGTTACATTGATATTATCCTTCTAACTCTGTACTAACGGAGCCAATATACTTGTTATCTGTTATTTGATTTGTTTCTTTGAAGTGATAAGCATGTTTTTCCATTTAAGGCAACAGCAGGAGGCGGAGGACGTGGCATGCGTCTTGCTAAAGAACCTGAAGAGTTTGTGAAGTTGTTGCAGGTATGCATTATCTTCCTATTTTGTCTTTGGTGATGCCTTCTTTTTTTGTTTGTCTTGTGTGAAAGTATTTCTAAAATCATCTTCGGAGGTATATTTTAAATTTGATATTAATTAAGTTTAACTCTACAACTTTGAACTGTTGGGTTCTTAGTTTACTTGGTCTTGTTTTCTGCAAATGAATCTTATATTTTTGTATTTCAATGTTGCTTCCATTATCTTAATTTTCTTCCTCAATTTAATTGTTTGCAGCAAGCAAAGAGTGAGGCTGCAGCTGCTTTTGGAAATGATGGAGTTTATTTGGAAAAGTACATCCAAAATCCTAGACATATTGAATTTCAGGTAATGTACTTGTAAAAGTTCCTGGTTTTCTAGTGTTATTCTTTATATATATATTTTTTTGTCAAGTAATGTTATTCTTTATAATTAGTATTTGATTTGACATTTGATGCCTGCCTGCAACCCCTTGATCCATCCCTTGTGTACAGGTTCTTGCTGATAAATATGGTAATGTTGTTCACTTTGGAGAGCGGGATTGCAGTATCCAGGTACTTCAAGCAGCCTTATTGCCTGCATGAATCTCTGTGAAGGTTTTATTTTTAATTATTGTAATACAGTTTGTCTTCTTAAAAATCTTACTTCTGATTTCTTTAAGGCAAGCAAAAAAGGTCATAACCATACCATATAACTGACTCTTTGCAACTCTAGGATGTACCATCCATTCAATTTTTTGCTTTTCTTAAGAAACTCCTTCCGTTATATGTGTTGAATGTGATCATCTCAGAGAAGGAACCAAAAGCTGCTGGAAGAAGCACCCTCCCCCGCATTAACCCCAGAATTGCGTAAAGCTATGGGTGATGCGGCAGTTGCCGCAGCAGCATCAATTGGTTACATTGGTGTTGGAACCGTTGAATTCCTTTTGGATGAAAGAGGCTCCTTTTACTTCATGGAAATGAACACACGTATTCAGGTTAAACTAATCTTTCGAGGATGGCTTTGTTTGGCAAATTTTTTTTTGCTTAGTTATGCTAAATTACTTTTTTTTTTCTTTCTCCCGCAATGGAACCACAGGTTGAGCATCCTGTGACAGAGATGATTTCCTCTGTTGACTTGATTGAAGAACAAATTCGTGTAGCTATGGGAGAAAAACTTCGATACACACAGGTAATTAGTAATTAATTGTGGTAGGACATATATGACCCTTCCTGTTCAATGTCTGATGGAGGTTGCTCCACTACAGGATGAGATAGTGCTCAGAGGACACTCAATTGAATGTCGTATCAATGCAGAAGATGCTTTTAAAGGATTCCGACCTGGGCCAGGTATGTGTACATAGCTATGTTCTGGTTCCCTCAGTCTTTTCTGTTATCTTGTATTGGTTTTACCGGGTGCAGCTAAACCCTGAAGAATGTCCAAGTTAGTTCAGCAGTCAAGGCTTCCATGGATTTTATTACGTTCGTGCGTGCACTGGATTTAACAATGACATTTTGTACTCATTTTATCTTTAGCATACGTAATCTTTTGCCTTTTTTACAGGAAGAATAACTGCCTACTTACCATCTGGAGGTCCCTTTGTTAGAATGGATAGCCATGTTTATCCTGATTATGTGGTTCCTCCAAACTATGATTCCCTTCTTGGAAAGGTTTGTGGACCAATATACCGTTGCTAGCCATAGTTTCTCATATGCATATGTACAGTATAAATTTTAGGTTTCAGGCTCCTTTATGCAATTTTTCTCTCTTAATGTAGCTTATTGTTTGGGCACCAACAAGAGAAAAAGCAATTGATCGAATGAAGAGGGCTCTTGACGACACTATTATAACAGGTAAGTAATAAAGTTCATTGTTGTAATCCTTCCGTTTTACTTACTATTTGTGTCAGCATAATTGTACTTTGTGTGAGCCAATTGATAGCATTGTCAATAGAAAAGAAGGGTAGGCCAGTAGGCCCAGGCTTCGTCCCTTCCTTGTACCTAAAAAGAAAGTAAATAGAGGGGTTTAGTTGTATTTGTTGATTTCTTGTTTAAAGTTTCCAGTCAGTTCAATTCATATTCTCAATCTACAATTTTTTCTTTATTCATGACTGTGAATGTAGTTAGCTAGATATGTTTTTCTGTTCATCCATGGCTGTGTAGTTAGCTAGACATATTTTTCTCTTTATTCATGGCTATTAATTTAGTTATTGCCTTTATTCCACAGGGGTTCCCACAACCATTGAATATCATAAACTTATCCTTGATATAGAGGATTTCAAAAATGGGAAGGTTGATACCGCTTTTATTCCAAAGCATGAAGAGGAGCTCGCCGCGGTAAGAAGCTAGGTTAACCCTGAACATAATTTTGCTGGTGAGGTTTTGATTTTTCATTATGGGTTCATGTGGAGGCTATGGATGGTGAATGGGGGTCAGGTGTTACCCATCTTTTTTTGGTGAAGTAAGTCAACTAGAAACAAGCTTCAAACTCTAATTAGGTGATAAGGGTTTTAAAGGTTTAATCAGTCAAATAACTTTGGATCTTCGTAAGTTATTTAACATTCAGCTCTACATACAGTATGTAAGTCCTGGAGAGTTTGTTATCTTTGCATCTGGCATTTGATATATTACGTCACCTTACCCATTCTGAAGAAATTGTATCATTAGATGAAGTGGAGATTTTACTTGCACAATAATTTTTATATTTAAAAACTAAAAACAGATTTCATTACGTTTTAGTGGGTTATTGTTTATTCCCTTGTGATAGGTTTTTATTCATCCAAATTTGGTTATATTTACTAACACCCTTTTCTGTGCCTACAGCCCCAACATTTGGTGCCAAAGAACTAGCTGCTGCATCTGCTTGAAGTGCAACCATCTGCTCTAGTCGTCCACGTTAGAAAAGCTGCAAATCCTTCACTTTTTTTATTTTTTATTTTTATTATTATTTTTAATAGCACTGGGAACATTGACATGCCTTGCATATGAGAATTCCATTTGAAATTTTGATATGTTCCGTTTCAATTGGGTGTTCAAACTTGTTTTGCGCACCATATATGTAGAAATGATGAGGGTCTTGCAAACTATCCATATTAAGCAAGGATGCTTCCTTCATTGTTAGGTTTAATCTAAAAATACCATTTTGACGCTTCACCCGTTATAGTAAATAGAACTTAAAAAAACATTTTTGTGAACTAAAAACTCAAATGAAATGCATTCCACAAAATAAGTTCCTTATTCAAACATCCAACGTAAGAAACAATTTTAGAAGATGTTCAAATTATATAGTCATTAGCTTAAAATTGAAATAAAATAAAATAACTAAATTTTTAAGGATTTTGTGTTTCGGTTATGATATATTCTTATGTCCATTCATTATGAATTTTTCATACTAACATGTCCCTCCGTTATCAATGTGACTCAAACACTGAATTTTTCGTATGTATTGTCGGATTCAGCCAAAAAAGTCATTAGCCACGAAGAATCAATACAAGTTATCTTTAAGTGATAAATGCATGCACACACCCCTAATAATTCAGGTGGAATATGTGCAAAATTCATTTTGTTTTATATATTAAAAACTCTAGTTATTTATTATAAAAATAAAAATAATCGTTAACAAAAAATAGTCTTTTTCTTGAAGGTGTTGGGAATTTTTTAGAAGCTCTCGCTCTATGATTGTGATTAAACATTCGTCCTCGCCTTGATCAGAACATAAAGCTCGTAACATTTCTGTGAATCGCAAAACCCCAAAAAAGAACACAAAATATGTTAAGAACTCGTTTGCTCTGGTTCGGTCTTGGGTTTTCGTTGACAGGAGCTGCGATTTCTCACCTGGTTTGGAAAGATCTTCTGGTGGACCGCTGCGCTCTTTCCTCTGATGTAACCTACCAACCCATCAACTCTCTCTCTCTCTCTCTCTCTCGTTTTCCTTTCAAGTTTTCATTTTTCTTTGGGGGTTTTTTGTAGGTGAAGCAAAAGTTTGATGCTCTTGAAGGTAGAATCGTGAACCTCGAGCGTTCTTTATCAGAGCCGAATCCCGCTCAGGTTATGGTTTTATTTGATTTCATTTTGTATTATTGTTGTGATTTTGTTGAATTTCTGATAGTTTTATGCTAATGCTCTTGACCCATTCATCCCAATTTTGTTAGAACTAATTATTACCCAAGACCCCTCGCATAAATTTCAAAATAAGGACAATTGTTAAGCATAGATGGTGAGTTTTAACAATGCCAATGATTTTCTAAATGGGTATTGGTCATAAAGTGCATGTCTTGATGAAATTGCTGATTGAACTTTGCGAACATTTGTCCAAAGTAAAGACAGCTCAAAGCATATGGCATGAATTGTGGGATTCAATTGCAGCATTCTCAATTTAGATTAGCATATTTGTATGTCAAGTTACTCTCTTTCTCTTGTGTCTGTTTCTGAGTGGGAAAAAAACCAATGTGGAGTATCCGATGTTATGATCTATGCATAGACAGAATCTCGATCATGATTACAAATGTATGCCTAAATTGATATGGTGCATTGTTATGATGTTTCAGAGAGGGAAGGTCCATTGGCACCAAGTGGAGCCATAAGGTAGATTGTCTAAGAGGAGCTTTTCTTGGAAAATTGATAGATGAAAGTAATTAGATGTTGTCTGAGTTCAGTAAGTTTGGTTAGAGTAAAGTACAAGAATAAGATTGATGTAGTGTGAAGGCAAACATCATCATGCTCGTATGCTGGGGAAATATTCATTGGGTGTCTGGTTTACACAAACATTCATTAGATGACTACTTGTGCAGTGATTTGGAGTCACATATGAGTTGATGTGTTCCAATTGTATAATGGTTTATGAGTTCGTAAAATGGGATGTGGGTTAAACTAGTATGCTGATTCTAAGAAACAGAACTATTGAAGAGCACCACTTTCTCTGGTCCATTCAGGATGAACAATCTGTCCTGTCCCCGTTTAGCATTCACAATGTTGGATGAATTTTAGTGTTGGAGGAAATGAAGTTGTATTGTCATGAGTGGCCTAGTGCTTTCTAGTTTTCTACTGTATGCAGAGCTCCTGTTGACAACCTTTTTGGGGTCAAACTGGCCAACAATTTAGTGTGGAGCAAGCGTATGGGATATACATGGGCTTAAGTTTAACTACTTACACTTGACATCGTAAATTGTTTAATGGCTTAGCCAATGTGAAACTTGTTTGAACTGATCCATTTATAGGAAAAGAAAATATAGTCTTCTATAATAAAAAAAGAAAGCAGAAGAAAAATAGCGTCTTTTATATGTCGACCTTTTTCTTTGAGAGAGTTTCCGCACATAGATTTGGTTGTTCAGATCTGTTTTCCAATCATTCTCTGTTACTCTTTGAACAACACAACTAACTTAGTGATTGTATTTTACTTCTGCTTGGCAGGTTGAGGACTAGATTTTACTTGGAGCTCAATGAAGTTCTGGCTTTCCCTCCTTGTTATCGACTTTATTTGGGTTTTTTGATGCTAAGTTGAACATGATTCTTTGTTAAAGATCATAATGTACTAGCTCTCTGCATTAAAGTCTCAAAGTGATTATATTACTAAATTACTTTCGGCGTATATACTTCATTGTGACTATATTGCTGCTATTTAGGGTCGCAATGTGACTCTTGATAGCAGTAATATAATATTATACGAATCTTTGTAGAATGAGAGGGTTGTTTTAGGTTTTGCTATAATCTAGATTTTTATTTCAAGGACTCCGAGTGATGGTTTTACTTTTCAACTTCTGGTGTATGACAAATATGTTGATCTAACCATGACACAAATCTTAAACAGTTTTATGATTAATAAAAAAAAGTTATTAGTTGGAAATATACATAACAATACCGAGTGATGTAGACATTATAGAAGAATTAAAATATAAGCCCATCTCTAAGGGCATAATATGCCCCAATTTTATTTTATTTTTGTCGAATAACACGCCCCCATTTTATAACACTTTTTTTAAGTCGCCAAAAATTGTAGGAAAGTATAGCCCAGTTAGTTGAGCTCTTTCATCTCAACCCATGTGAGCGGAAATTTGAAACTTCCATGCACTTAATGAATATGTGTGTAAACCAGACACCCAATTAATACTTGTGTAAACCCCCCAATCACTTGTGCAAAAAAAAAAAAATTAAAAAAAAAATTAAAAAAATTAAAAAAATTAAAAAAATTTAAAAAAATAGCATAACATCAGGTGCTCCTTGTAACAATTATGACTGGCATTTCATACAATACAAACTATAAATCTCTCTTTCAGGTTCATATTAGTTCACAACTTCTCAATAAAATTTCTCCAATCTTAAAAAAAATAATTCTGGCAATTTGAATAGATGACTGTAGAGACTGCCTGCTTGAACCCTCTCAATTTTTATCTACTGTGTCTTATCCCGGTTATACCCAGTTTTATTCTCATAACATTTCCCATCCTTTTCTATTATTTACTTATATAGGTTTGTAAAAATGTTCATGCCACAGCGACCCCCGCCAAGAAGACCAGCGGACTAGAGCAGGGTGACACAGAGTAATCCATTGATTTTATTGCTTCAGATCTGCACTTCTCTTTGTGATCGTCGCTTCTAATGTGTTTGTCGCGGCACTCAGTGCTGCAAAATGCTTTTTCACCTCTGCAAACAAGGGGAATTGAATGCTTTGTTAGTGAAGAATCTAAGTTGCATCCGGACAGAAGATGCCAAGTGTATTGCAAAGACCATCCCCATTTTCAAAGTCATCAGTTGACATCCCAACCATTCCAAACAATTAAGCACCACATGCAATAGCAAACAAGAACCACAATTCCAAAAGCAAATTCTTTCGCTATCACAAAATATCTCAATTATTAAGAGACCTGAAAATCAGATATTGGAACAAAACAAAACCAGGTGGAATTCTCTCAATCAAGAATTGCACCTAAATATCTCACCAACCTGGAGTTTAAAACTGGCCTACCTAGAATCTTGTCTACAATAATGTTATATCTCTTAACACAATGCATATATTCATTCAGAAAGCTGTCAAGATGAAATTTTGAGATTCTAAGACATTGAAGTATACTTTCAAGCATAACTCAAACGTTAGAATATTTAATCTAATGCAATTCTCCTAACCACATATGCAAGTGCAGGAAAGAGAAGAATTTCAAGTACGCATATAACTGACAAATATTACTGCTTCATTTTGTTGCCAGAAAGAGAAAGCAGTAGTATTAAATGTCAAGGTGATTCTCCAAATTATGGATGCTCCATAACTGAAAAGACTACTCCAATTTTTCGCTAAGAAGATAAAGAAAAGAGAACTTTGCTCAAAAGAGAACAATTTTGCTCACTGCCTTCAGTTATGGTGCAGCATTACCGCCCTACTCAACATTTTCCACGTCTAACAGGTGTGGTTATATTTATTACAAAAATTCACCTTAGATAATACGTATAACATGTGGATGCATTGAGCAGAGTCGTAATGCTACATCATGGTAAAAAGTGGTCAGCAAAATTGTCTTCCAAAAGAAATGACCACTTTCTTATAGGAGTACCAGTACACATCTACCCACTCAACGGTATCTTTAATACCAAACAAATGGCTCCAATCAAAGATGTAACTTGCAAGTGGTTATTAAGGAAACAGCTGTCATTCTATCCTAAGTTTCTAAGGAGGCTGGCTTCAATGAATACTAAGACAAAGAAAACCTGGCATTACTTCTTAAGCATGCAACAGTCTAATGACAATTAATAGTCAAATGATTGGTGTACAGCCTGGCATAAAAAATTATACTGACATGTTCATAAAATTAAGACCAATTTCCATATAACATTAACACAGAATAGAATCTGTTCCAATCAACAAAATGAGAACCTAAGTTGAGGATTTGAGAGTGATAATCAATCCATGTGCTATATATTGCTGTTAGAGTACTCAAGTCCAATCAACATTGACCGTAAATTACTTTGCCTGGCCTGTTTGTATTTTACACTTCAATACATTACTGGAATAAATACTAGCAGTTTGGAAAATGACAAGGCCAGAACTAATAATCAGCTGAATCAAGCTGTACATGTTCCTTGCAGATAACAACATTTACAGTCTACGTAACAATCACATAAGATTTCCTGTCCATATTTCTGAAATAATATCCAAATCCTAATGGAAACAACCATTCATACAGCTTCTGTACTTAGAGCAGTCAGTGAAGAAGGCAAAATCATTCTTAACAAGGTGTTTAACAAAGGAACTAAATCATTTAAGACACATTCAATGGCAACTCATAACTTAAACCTTGATAAATAAATAAAAATCGAGCAAAATTTGTTAGTAGAACAAGTAGAAGAACACCAACCGGCTATACCACATAAGGTAAGCTCTACTCAGAAGAGAAAATTACAAATAAGGTAAAAGTATCAAGCTGCGGATACAGATCTATCAGTCACATCCTCCCGCCAAGACCAACGAATTACTATAGATCAAAATCCTATGAAATGAACTGACCAATTTGTTAAGCATTAACGGTATCACCCTAAACTTAAAATCTATTGCTAAACTAGCAAAGAAGCGAAGCATCGTACATCTCCAAGATTGGTCAATTCATCCATATCTCTAAAATAACAATCAACCCAAATTCAAATCCACTCAAAACATAATCTCCCACACAATAAGCAAAAATTAAGCCATATTCAAAGTTCTGTAAAAGTTTGACTAAGCCATATTCAAAATTTTCTAAAATTCTGACTTTGCCATATTCATATTCCAAAATCTTCTAAATCATGCTTCACCAAATCATTCATCGAAGGGGGAGAAAGACTACCAAATACACACTAAACACTGATCCTATATAAATTTCAAACTGAATTAATTCATAACAATACATCAAAAGAACATAAATATATGTACATATATAAACATAATTTTTTTTTTACCTGTACATGAAAATGTCCAGTCCATGAAGCTGCTTGTTGCAAAGATAACAAGAACTGAGAAAATCAGAAGCCCAAAACTCTCTACCCACTTCACCAACACTCACTGGTGAAGCAGAGAACACCCCAGAGGCCACAACACCAGAACTGGGATCATTAACAACTCCACTAAGCTTATCATCAAAATAAACACGTTTCCTTGTCAAATTGTTCCCAAAATGAGAAATCACACAAGTATAACTCTCAGACAATTCATCCACCACAACCCCTGGCCTCTCCATATTAAACCCACCTCTGAAATTAGCAGCAGGTTTAGCTGCAGAGACTATGGGGATTGGGCTTGACCTTGGTGACTTTTCAGACGAAGCCACTTCATTGGGGTTGCTCAAATCAGTCATGGCAGCCACTATGCCAAGTCCAACCACACCCTCTTGGAAATTTCTAGGAGATTTGATTGAATTGGGATACTTATCAGAGGAAACTGACTCAGAGAAGGTAGTGAAGAGTGAGAGACTGATGGTGGGTCTCTTTTTTCCGGAAAAATTCTCCATCTTCCGGGAAAATCTGCAATTGGGTACCCTCAGATTCTCTTACTTTGTCAAATGATTGTCAAAATGTTTAGCTAGTTTAAAGGAGGATTGTCAAAGCTGTGGAAGACTGAGATAGAGAAAGAGTCGGGACTCTTTTTAGGTAACCAGGAAAGATTGGAGATCTAGAGAGAGAGCTAGAGCTTTGTGCTAAATTCAGAGGGAGTGAAGTAGAAGCAATGAAGCAAGTAGAGGGATTCTTTTTTGAAAAAATTCAGTGCAGCTTTGAGAGAAGTACCTCCTCTTTCTCTCTCTAATCTATAAAACTTCAGTTTTTTTCCTAGAGAGAGAAACCTGTTAGAGAGGAAGAGTGAGAGAGAGAGAGAGATGCAGAGGAGGACCACCTTTCAGGTCTCTCTCTGGTCTTCTCTAACGCCTGTGATTTCAGGGGAAAGGGCAATATAAGCACTTCCTCTTCCTACCATAACAATTATATTTTTATTATATTCTTCTTGCAAGTAATACAATTTTTTTATTTTGCAAACATTACAGAAATAATTGATTCTGGAGTTCGACAGTTTGTAATAATTGTTGGTTGTCACTTTCCTTATTCTTTCCTTTTCTTAAATTGGCCCCTCCATGTTTCCGTTAATGAATTTTACCCCTTGAGTTGTTAGATTCTTTCTTTTTCAACTTTAAATTTTGTGTGCCAGAAAAAAAGAAAAAAAGACTATTGTATTTGTGGTCTAGCAAAAAAAGCTATAATATTAGTATTGAGTGAGTTCAAAAATGATTTTATTTGTCTACTTGAGATTCTTTGATCTATTATTGTTGCTTTGTACCAATCCCACAAGTGAATTCGAAGAAGGGTATAATTGATGAGAAATGTAGTTCCCATTCAAAAGAATATTTTACTTATAACAGTACGATTCTCCATTTTTTTTTTCCATTCAAATATTTCTAGGTTACATTTTGAAGGAATTTTTCCCATAGTTCCAATCGTGCCATGTACCTAACTAATTTCAAAAGTAACTGCATTTTGCTTTAATAAAGACTAGACCCTTGGCACATGCATGAATATATTTCTACGTCATATTTTAAAAGAATTTTACCCATAGCTCCAACCGTGCCATGTAACTAAGTCAAAAGTCATTTTCAAAAGTAATTGTATTTTGCTTTAATAAAGACTACCGTGTGATTGTGTGCCAATTGGATTTTTCTTACACCGAGTTTTATTATTATTTTTTTTAATATTCAAATGGAAAGTTTTGAAAGTAGTTATCTCCCAAATAACATTTATGCGGAGGCAAATTGACACCTCTTATTCAGGCGGCCCCACGTTATTATTGTGCAGAAATTATTATAAACAAGGAGAAAAGTAGAGAGAGGTAGTAGAAATTATATATGGCGCCCGCACAATAATAATGTATAGATATCCGTATTTGAGAAAATCTATATATATAAAGCAAAAGACCCTTATATTGGCAAATTTTCACTTAAATTCCTCATTTAAGTAAAATTTTCGCTACACAACTACTTCATTTTAAAAGAAGAAATACGTAAAACAATACTCTTCCATGTCCAACAAATTTTTTCTAATTTCATAAAAAGAACAAAAGTTCTTTTAGAAAAGAATTATTGAAAGAAAAAAATACATATTGACACGTGTGTGGGAAGCTAGTTAATATTATTATTTATTTTCTCTAACAAGGTCGTTCTGTGATGGAAAAATACAACAACCCTTAAAAATTATACAAATTTATAAATAAACCCAATCCTAGACATGTATTTATAAAAAAACTCAAGCACTATTTAAACATAGAAACACACCCAAAATAAACCTCAAAGTCAACTTTTTGGGTGTGTTTATAAATGGGTTTTGAGTGTGTGTAATGATGGGTTTTGGGTGTGTTTATATGTTTAAATAGTGCTTGGGTTTTTTTATAATTTCAACCCCCATTTTGGGTGTTTTAGTGAAACTCCCTAAAAATTATTGATGAATTTCGGCTCATTTAAACCTTCATCATCCTTTTCGTTAGCCTTTGCGCTTTTTTATTTTCCAGTAATGCTAGGGACACCAACTTTGTGCACCAAATTCAAGTCTCAAATGATATGGTACATGAAAAACCTGTCGCAAATTAAATTTACCATTTTCTAATAATTGGAAGCACCAAGTTTGAGTATACAAGAATTTTCTAACAATGCAAGCAAATATCAATGTCCAACCAATCCTAGATTTCACAAAATTGCATTGGGTGATATGAGCTAACCATGCCCAAAACTGGAAATCGGTTACAAAAAATCAATCAGCTCTGATTCCCATGCCCTAATTAGAACCAGAAGGACCATTGTTGGCATCATGTTGAAGAAAAAGAAGCATCCATATATAGCCATTGTATTGCTAAGAAAAAGAAAGGGACACTTGACATTAGTGCCTATACCTAATAACGTCCCTCTATGGGGGGATATGCTCTGGCATCTTGAAAAGGGAGAGCAGCAAAGGGTGCAGCCAAAAATATTTGGTTGCTTTTGAATCCTTACCGTTTAAGTATTTTATGGCTTTTCCACAGCCCCATAATTAATTTTCCAGAGAAATTACAAAAATAAAAACCTGCTGATTAAATAGAACTAGTGTTTCTGTAAGTGTTTTGAAGCTTTTATTTTATTTTTCTTGTGTAAAAGAATTCTTCGTGTGTGTAAGCCCTTTATTTTATTCTTTTTAATGAACATATTCGTTATTTATTTGTTTATTTATTTTAATGAAAGGTATGATTTGAACTCTTGTCATGACATTGGAGTAAACTGTTTTATCATTCAAGTATTAATTCTTTTTTATATATTGATTAACCAGCACTTAATCCAACGATACTTATGTCACTAATATTAAAATATGCCCAAATTCACATCTCATTATCTTTCGGCACTTAAAAAAAAAATTGTATTCATTATTAAGGATAGGTGGTGAGCGAAAATGATGTCTCTGTAAATTATTAAGAAAAAAAAGACTTATTGGGACAATTTGTGTGTAAAAAAAATGGTGAGTGGAGGTAGTCGTCCTCATTTGCCCGGCGTGGCATGAATGATCAATCAATTAGGAACATATCAAGTAGGTAACAACAAAATGTGGTGAAAACTATAGTAAAAGGATATATAACCTACAAAAGATTATTCTCAATTAGATAGGTATATTTGCAAAGGAATACCAAAGAATTTGAGACAGAGTTACAAAATTGTGAAAAGTAAAGGACGGATACTCAAATACCCTAAAAGAAAAAAGCATTGACAAGCAACCTACCAAGGCCACCATGCAAAAAGCCAACAAAGGAAAGGAGACAAGATGAGTTTGTGGTCAATGATTTCACATTTCTTGTCACATAAAATATAAACATATAGAAAGCAATAATAAGTGGGGACAAATCTAAAATATCAGTGATTATAACTTCTGCGAACCTGGTTCTCTTCTTTTCTCTTCCCTTCTCTTCTCTTCTCTTACATTAACTGCTCCATTTTCCTATGACAATTCAAAGTCTCAGATACACACCATTTTGGGAGGTTTACTATAAGCTGGTACCCCTAGGGCTCTTGGAACCACACCTTCCATAGAGATGACAAAACCAAAATGAACCTAGAAAAATTTCAAGATGCTTGCATATCACAAAGAAAATATGTATATGATGCGAATGCCTTCATTTTTTTTTTTTTTTTGGAGTAATAGTGCTAATTGAGAGCATTTTTTGTTTGTTTTTGTCAACTGAAGAACTTCATTGAAGAAAGAAGTCAGTACAAGGAGAAGAACTTATCTACACCGAAAATGCTATGGTGATAATATGCTAAGTCAATTAATTATTATCATCCATAATGTGTGAGTGACTTAAAATACCGCTGCAATAACTTCTCGTTCCATAGAAATCCTCTCTAGTGGCACAATCTACCAATCACATGCAAATTCATGCACTAAAAATGCCCCAAATATAAAATATGAGGAGGATCACATACAAGTACAAGTTGCTCCTACCACTATTCTAATAATTGCCACACACATATTCTTCAATGATCATTTTCCCTATTTGTTTTTCCTTCAATAAATATATTCTGAAAAACTATGGCCCATAGAGATAACAGATCAAGATGAGCACTTGAACAAACTAACATTTTAGGTCTCATTCCATAAATTTTATAATCCAACTGAGTTGAAAAAGTACCCAACAGCATTGTTGTGTGACTTTTGAGGACATGCCAACAAAAGCATAAAACCTAGCTTTTGATAATCATTCTCCTTTTCATCCGCCAGTGGTTGAATTGTATGCTCAATATTTCAATTGGCTGCCATCGATTCATATTACTCACTAATTAACCATGTATGAATTAAAAACCACAAGATATATGGCCCTGTCATTTTTCTACTATTTTAATTTATATTCTTCAAATCTAAATGATTTGATTTGGACCACTGCGCATATACAGAGTAAGAATTATTATTTATAGAAAACATCTTACTTTTCTTGCAGATATTCTAATTTAATTGTTTCATGTTTCTTACGGCAAGTAGCTTCATATCCATGCATTGCCGTATAGATAAAGGTTGCCTAATCTAATGGTGTACAATTGAATCAACTGATTGCCCGTTTTTCAGAAGAGTGCTGCTATTTCCATCTTATTGTCCTATTTTTTCATGTACCATATAAATTTAAAAGACACAATCTTATCTGTCCACCCATCATTATTCCTAAAATACTATTTAATTATTAATTTAAGTAAAACCTAGAAATCAAGCAAAAAAGTAAAAAAAAATAACCCAAACAAATCCAACATCCTCTTCCTATTCTTCTTCCAATTATTTTCTTCAATCACAATTCCAGAAAATTCCCCGAAAAACAACATGTGAAATTGGACAGGACGGCTTGTAACTAGACATACCATCTCTACCTAAACATACGGCTGTGCACTGTCGTCAAATCTCATTACCCAAACACTAAACAGAGTTCTTACTAAAAACACAGAATAATTACATATATATCGTGTGGTTTCCATGGCTGAGAGTAGAGACAACTTGGCAGTAAGAATTATTCCTAACTCAATTGTTTATTTCCTTTAAAATTATTTATTTTTAGTTTCACAAAAATATTAAAAAAGATTCGTAGTTCATTTGTAATACATGCGTTGATGTTGCAGTTGGATTCGGAAAGAAACAAACTAGCCCATTATGCGATTCAGTTTATGGTGTAGAGGAGGGTGATACGTGTACTTTTGTCGTTGATAAGTTCAATTTGAGTTTTGATTTCTTCCTTTCTATCAACCCTAATATCAATTGCGACAACTTCTTTGTGGGTCAATGGCTTTGTACTGAAGGGACTGCAAACTGAGCTTCGAGTTTGGTCTGCAGGTTGGTGTTTGACAAGGATGAGGGGAGAATAGGTGGGTTACGGGAAATAAGAAGTCATTTTACGGGAAATAAGACAGGATGTCGGAAGTCATTTTACAAAGAGGTAATTTTGTTTTTAAAATTTTGAAGATAAGGTGGATGGGGAAATAGGACGGGAGTAGAAATAGCAGCACTCTTTCAAAATTAGTGTCTTCAGGCATCTTTGCAATTGCTTGCTGGCCTCAAATCTAATATGGAATTTATGTTGTCATAATACAGAATGCGTCACTAAATCGAGGTGTGAAAGCCAACTCCAATTCCCACATTATCGGAGGCTTTGTGGTTGATGGACTTTTGTGTGTGTTTTTCTTGGGTAAGTTAGGGATGGCACAAATCTCCTTCAGGCTGGATTTCTGTCTGGCCCCCAACCCTAATAGGAGAGATTTCGAGGCAAAATCAAGGGAGGGAATTGAGGATTTAGGCCGGTTTGGGATGTGGCCCTCCTACGAGGGATGGTATTGCCGGCATCGTTGTTGAGTTGAAAAATCAAGGCCTTTAGTTATGCCGGCATTGTTTGTTAAATTTGGCTTGTCTACTAGTCATAATATGTTTTCGTTTGAGAAATGCCTTGATTTCATCTTTTTCAACATTGCCCACACTAATGATGATGTGCTGAACAATCGGACCAATACTTCCAAAGACCAAAGGAACAAAGCTTTGGATACCAATGAGGCTGTCAAGGGTTGCAAGACAAAAGATTACATCCCCCTTGTAACTTGTAAGTTGGATTGTTGAATAATATGCTATGTTGAATGGTTGAATGAATGATGTAGTTGCCCAATGCATGGGGTTATGTTCCTAGAAATACTGACAAAGTGGGTATAATTTCACCTCACCATTGTCACTTGAAAGTGGATTCTACTGTCAGTTGTTGAGCTTAGAGAAAATAATGCAAAAAGAAGTTAAGAAAAAGAAAATTGCAAAGCATAATTAATAGAAATTGGTTCATTGTTTCAAACTGCAAAGCCAATTGAAATTTGTAACTAGATACTTCCATTAAAGTTTTTCAACTGAAGAACTGTCAATGAACTACTAGAGAACATATCAGCACTACAGATAACACAAGAGAACATCAGGCACTTCAGGCATAGGCGGCCACTGCCCTACAAATCTGGAACAAAATAAACAAGAACACGAAAATATGTCAACTTGTCAGATAAGAAGAAAAGCACGTTACACATCAGGCATATCAGGCACATCAGGCACTTTGTGGAAGAGGACGTTGCGGCACTCCAAGTCCGTTACAAAAGAAATAGAATAAAAACCACTGGTAGGAGTGCGAATATAACTTCCTCTTCATGCTTTACATAAATGAAGACTGATCAGAAAATTAACTACTGTGTACATGAAAACCATTGGAAAAGGAATTCAATGCACAAACTGCTGTAGATTTCTATTGCTTAAAGTCAAAACATGTTAATATTGTATGAGTCACAAAACTACAACCACGTATACAATCAATGTTTGGTTCGAACTTCTTGTTCTCCAAATTGAGTTTGGACGAAAGATGATTCAAATTTAGTCATAAGTTGTGTTTTATATGGCAACGAAGCGAGAGAGAGTTGACAGAGTTGAGAGAGTGAGTGAGAGAGTTGAGAGAGCGAGAGAGAGTTGAGAGAGCGCGAGAGAGTAGAGAGGCAGCGACGCTCGCCTGAAAAAAGAAAGTGAAAATGGAAACTACAGTCTGAACTCCATTTTTATTAGATTTCAAAATCAGGCATGATTTTGAAATGAGTTTTCACAACCTCTCAAAGGATGCAAAAATATCTCCTTTTTTATTTTTTTAATGGCTGCATGAAGTTTTAAGTCATTGTTTATTTCTGAAGGTAATGAACTAGACCTTTTACCGTTGCAAATTTATTTACTATGCGTTCGGATTTGGAGACTTGGGATAGGCTATTGATTGTAGTTTAAATTGCCATTTTTAAGTTTGATTTAGGTCGGTTTATAAAAATTAAAAAATCAAACGAAACCAAACTATATATAGTCCGATTCAATTTTGAACTTTTTTGTGATAAAAACCAAACCAAATTGAGAATTACGGTTTGAATCAACCGATTTTATCAGTTCGGCTGGATTGATGACACCCTAACTTTTATACCCAAATATGATAATTTATATATTATATTGATGTTACAATAACATATACTTGGTTGACTATATAGATTGAGCAATGCAAAATACTCCTTTTTTTTGTCAATAAGCAATACAAATACTTATGGACCACAAAACTACAAAGTTTACTCCCTTCCCTTTATAGAAAAAGAAAAAGAAAAAGAAAAGGCCTCGATGCAAAACGCGTCGCTTCCAACTTCTTTCAGTTTCCAACGTTCAGCCGTGTGTGAAAATGGAGGGTACTCTTCTTCTGAGCACAACATGTGTTTCAAGTTCTCTCAAGCCACAGCATCTTTCTTTTTCCTCCCATCAACCCCAGTCACAGAGTCGAGCCCTGGCACGCAAGGTCAGTCTCCGTTTCTATTATGAACAGACGATTTTGGCTTATTTTCAGTTAATTAATTAAAAGTATCTGTAGTCATTTCAAAAGAAAAAAAGTAGTGTATTTGCGAAATTGGGACTTTTATTTGAAGCAAATTCTGGTTCAACAAATGCCCATAATTTATTTCCAGCACCTTTGCATCTTATGTAGCACCAGTTGGATATTCAAGAATTTTGTTGTTTTAGTGTGACTTGTGTGTTTTCTTATTCGGAAAAAGATACTATTTTTCTGTTATACTAAGAAACAACTCTCTCATGCTTTTTACCGTTTAGTGTATTCAACATCTTATTGCTACTAGTATTGCTATGTTTGCAGTTTATGCGTGTACTCAATTATTTATTTCTTGGTCTATATACATGGGCTTGTAATGCTTGTTATTGTTTTAGATTTCTTGATGGATATGTGTTTGAATGCCTTTCATTTGGGGTGTGCTTAGAACAGATAATCCGGAAATGGAAGCAGGAAGAGTGTTTTGATGGCAAGGATATTTACGTAGATTGTGTGCCGCTAATACGAAGTTTAAGTAGACAAAAGATGCCTCATGTAGCCCAGGAGCTTTTACTTGAAATGAAATCCGATGGTCTTTTGCCTAGCAACTCCACTCTATCTGCTTTGATGCTATGCCATGCGAACAATGGTCTTTTTCCTCAAGCTGAGGCAATTTGGGACGAAATGTTACATAGTTCTTTTGTGCCTAGTATTCAGGTTGTTTCCGAGTTATTTGATGCTTATGGCAATGTGGGATGTTTTGAAAAAGTGAATGAAATTTTGGCTCAGATAAGGTCGAGGAATTTAAGTTTGTTTCCAGAGGTTTACTCACTGGCTATCTCTTGCTTTGGGAAAGGGGGGCAGCTTGAATTGATGGAAGGTACATTGAAAGAAATGATTTCAAGGGGTTTCCCGTTGGACTCTGCCACTGGTAATGCCTTTATTAGATACTATAGCATTTTTGGTTCTCTGACTGAGATGGAGACCGCTTATGGCCGCCTTAAGAGGTCTAGGTTTCTTATAGAGGAAGAGGGAATCCGGGCAATGTCATTTGCGTATCTGAAGAAAAGGAAGTTTTACAGATTAGCTGAGCTCCTGAAGAATGTTGGTCTAGGTAGAAGAAACTTGGGAAATCTTTCATGGAACCTTTTGTTGTTATCCTATGCTGCCGATTTTAAGATGAAAAGCTTACAAAGAGAATTTCTGAGAATGGTGGAAGCTGGTTTCCACCCTGATCTTACCACATTTAATATTCGTGCTCTGGCCTTTTCTAGGATGTCTCTACTCTGGGATCTCCATCTGAGCCTTGAACACATGAAACATGAGAAAGTTGTTCCTGATCTTGTGACTTGTGGTTGTGTTGTTGATGCATACTTAGAGAGAAGACTAGGAAAAAATATGTATTTTGCTCTCAATAAAATGAATTTGGATGATTCTCCACTCATATTAACAGATCCATTTGTGTTTGAAGTTTTGGGAAAAGGAGACTTTCATGCAAGCTCAGAGGCATTTTTGGAGTTCCAGAGTCAGAGGGAATGGACTTATAGGAGGTTAATTTCAGTATATTTGAAAAAGCAATATAGGAAGAACCAGATCTTTTGGAATTACTGACCAGTGACCTGCACTTCGTGTAAAGACATGTTTGACCGATTGTTAGAGAAGGATTGTCACTGACAATAGCATGTCTATCAGTTACAGTTCTAATTCTATTGGTTCGACAAGTGCATGTATGTATACAAGATGATAATTGCATCGCCCTATATTGTGCATGGGTATGTCTCTGCACTTTCTTCTTATGTTCATTCTGGATAACAGAAATTTTCCTGATCTCCAGGGTCTTATTTAGGCTCCCCTTTTTCAAGCTGAAATGAAGTTGGATATTGGTGATGGATAACGTGCCAATATGATGCTAGAGATGCTAATCTGAACGTACCAAATTTGCAACGAAATGCTACGTTCACTCAGACTCAAAGTACACTCAGAGGAGTAAGAAATAAACGTAAGAGTAGTCCTACTATTTCTTTTGAATCTCACATGCTGAAACTAATCTGTCAGTCAAAACTAATTCCCCTCGTGTCTGTTTCCCTTGCTATTTACTGCAGCTTCTTTCTGCCTATTGGCTTTGATGCGTGTTCTATGCTCATAAACTGCTATGAAACCTTAAATCGCACAAATTGCTAGGGTTAGTTCTTTCTTGGTGGATGATTTGTTAGGCGTTGCTAGGCCTCGCTTGATCTGCATTAGTTATTTGTCGTTTCTTTTTGGGGTTTTATCCCCCTTATCTCATTAAAAAAAAAAGAAAGAAAGAAAGAAAGAAAGATATATGTGTGTTTGTGTTGTCTTTCTTATCGTTTTCCCTTTGATTTCCTTGGAGTTTCATTGACTTTAAAAAGTACCTTCTTAAATTAGCAGATACAACTGTTGAGCTTTATTACTTTTGCGGGAAGCATAAATTGTTGGAAAGTCGATGATATAAATAAACAATTTCCTGCTCAAGATATATTCTGGCAAAAACATCCTGTCGTGGCTACGTATAAAAATAGACCTTAAATCAATATGTGTGGTCATAATACTGTACTGTGGGAGTCTTCGACTAATTATTTGGCGACGCTGATATTTAGGCGAGAGGCGAGGGTGTTCTTGGTTCTACTAGTGATATTATGTGTGATAGAGCAACAACATTTAGTGTACTCATATAGTTGACTTCAAAATATGCTATTGTTTTTAACAGGTTTCTGGCATTGTGCACCGACGCTCAGATTTTATGTCCACTGAATGGACAATTGGACTGGAGCTGGAACTCTTAGACCATACTCTTGAGTTTGGATAAATGTTTGTGTTAGAAAATAAAGTAACTGTTGGTCACAACCTTATAGTTTAAGCTTTTGAGGAGTGTGATAACCAGCAAACTCTTTCATGGTATCAGAGCATGATATTTGAAGTATAACTCCTGTAAAAAAAACAAAATGCCACTCGTGTATTGCAAAAGAGCATTTAGCGTTGATGTCTCGAATGTCAGATGGCCTTGCCTCAGAGGAGATTTGTTTTTTAAAAAATAAAGAATTTATGGATACATATTCAATAGACTCACAACATAGTCCTAATTTCCTAAACAATCTATGGGCAGGTTTGGATCAAATTGGATTAAACCTGGAAGAAGTTGAAAAGCTGTATTTGAAGGGAAAGTATTAGTTTCTTCCATAATAAGATGATGCCCTTGAACTCCTCCTTGAGCTTGAGCTATAGTATCCAGACTCTGGTAGCTCAACGTCACTCATAACATCCTGAAAGAAAAACCCCAAAAAGTTCATAAATAAGTACAAATGTTCACAAAATATCCAAAAATAAAAGAGCTAACAATCTTGTGAAGCCTTCACAGGCTGTATGCAATATGAACCTCATTCAGTTTGCCAAAATTTGAAGTTTCTCTAAGCTGTATGTAATATGAACCTCGAGTGCAATGCAAGGTTTGTGTTATGAAACTCACTTGTATTGTGGAAATGGGGCCATGACTTGGTGAAAATTCTTCACCACCACCGAGGATGCCACACTTCTTGTTATCTTCGGCTAGTTTTCTCAATCTGTTCAGCTCAGGTAGCACAACATTTCCAAGATCCGGTCTGTTTTTACGCCTCATTTCGGCACATTGTAAAGCTATCTGGGCAAACTTTAAGGCTTCCTCAACTGGCCAGTCAGGAACAGCAGGGTCAAGCATCTCTTGGAAAGTCCCATTCTCAATTGCCCGCTGAACATGATGAGTCAAACCCATTGGTGGCTTGGCTGTTATTAGTTGTAGAAACATGACCCCAAGTGAGTAGATATCAGATTTGATTCCAAGCATCCCAGTTTGCTGATACTCTGGGTCTATATAACAGAATGTTCCGGCTGTTGATGTCATATGATACTGAGTGACTGAATCGGCTACTGATGGAGGGACTAGCCTGGCCAAACCAACATCACTGATCTTGCTCACATAGTTATGGTCTAGCAAAATGTTTCCGGGCTTCAGGTCACGGTGTACAAGGGGTTCTGGCTTGGTATGATGAAGGAACAAAAGTCCGGTGCCAATTTCTGCAGCTATATGGAACCTCAGTTGCCAAGGAATAACTGGGGTGTTACCTCGCCGGAAGAGACGGTCTTCTAAGCTCCCATTAGCCATGTACTCATAGACCAGGCAACCATACTCTGGGCAGGCTCCAAGAAGGAGAACCATGTTTGGATGGCGCATGCAACTCAATACTTGAACCTGCATAGTTAAGAGTTGCCAGATATATTTCTCAGAAAGACACAAACAATATAAATGGCTTAGAAAGAAGAAGCTTATTAGCCTTTGAGAGTAAGAAATATCAAAAATCCTAGCATTTCTAATTGAACTGTTACAACTTGAAAGGGTTGGGGGATTGGTATTAACTACTTTTAGATGTACAATAAATCACTTGAAGAACTAATTGATTCTACTCTTTGTTTGATGCCCGAGCAACTTCTTAAACCAGAGAAGTTATCTTTTTATCTATTTAAGTATTTCTATTCTCTCTATTTTTTTTTAAAAAAAATCGTTGGATCTGTCTGCTTTTGTTTTCAAACAACATGTTCCCAGTTTTGGCAACAATGTGAGAGTTCAATCTTAAAGTTTGATAATGAGCAAAGTCACCAACCTCTTGCTGGAACTGTGACCGTCCTTGAGCTGCGTCCGGACATAGAACTTTTATTGCCACTGGTGTGTGGTCTAGTTCACCTCTGTATACTGGCCCATAGCCTCCTTCCCCAATCTTGTTTATGTTTGAAAAATTATTTGTTGCTACTTCGATCTCCTCAATTGTGTATTTCCTGTACATGAAATCATATGTTTTTGCTTCTAATGCCTTCTTCCTCTCAGTTTCTCTAAGGGCTTTCATTTCTGCATTCCTCCTTTTCTGTGCTTCCAGTACTGCAATCCTTTGAGCTGATTCTGCTGCCTCCATGGCTGCCATACATTTTATTTTCTGCTCATCTGCAAGTGCCAATGCAGCTTCCTCAGCTATTCGTGCCTCGTGTAATCTCCGTTCTTCTTCCAATTTCCATTGTTGAAGTTCCATTGCCTGTGATGATATGTTATTAGAATTTATGGATGAATAGTTGTTCTAAACCCAAGATTTATATTCCACCAAATGAAGTCATCTCTTTTTGTGTATGGTTGGACATGTAGCTTTGTTATTTCAGCTGTTGCTATATACACTTGCATCTGCCTGCACCTTTAGGAATTGTAAGAGGCATAAGATGCACTATGTGACACTATATAGAAGTGTCCCTATATATGTGTGTGTGTGTGTGTGAGTGTGAGAGAGAGAGAGAGAGAGAGATGCAGGCTAACTATACCAATTAGGCCTACTAGATGATGATTCTCAAACCTTTTTTGGGATTTTCAAGGCTGCATTGTGAAAATGTGAGGTGAAGAGAGGTCATTTGTACACTGTTTGGTAGAATGATAAAAAAAGTTTCCGTTCTTACATGGATAGTACTAAAGATTCATTACATATATCAATGTGTGCTCACCATTTGTCGTTGATTTTATCAAAAATTGAAATTTTAGGGTTGATTCCAAAACTTTGTTTTAGTCTATGCTCGAAAAAAGCTATTGCATCAATACCTTCTGTTTTGCCGTGAGTGCCTCCTTGCAGGCTGTACTGTACATGTCCATCGTTTGCTTGAGCTCTAGCCTGAGCCTCCTCATTTCAGCTTCCATTTCATCCTATTATTAGCAATTAAGTATTAGCAATTCTGAACTATTCCTGTGCGCATGTTTTTGTAATATGCGCATCTTTATGAATCGTGGCATTAAAACTATACAAATTTATAAATAAACCCAATTCTAGACATGTATTTATAAAAAAACCCAAGCACTATTTAAACATAGAAACACACCCAAAATCAACCCCAAAGTCAACTTTTTGGGTGTGTTTATAAATGGGTTTTGAGTGTGTGTAATGATGGGTTTTTTTATAATTTCAACCCCCATTTTGGGTGTTTTAGTGAAACTCCCTTAAAACTACTCAAACCAATGGCAAATATTGGTCATTTACTGTATCAATTGTTGAAGGCACACTATGGGAGCTGTCTCAGATAAACATTTCTGGTATATTAGCTTCTGACGAAAGTGATAAAGCTCCAAAGCTTGAAGGTTGGTGGTGCTTCAAGTTTACCATGCTTGAAAAATTGTCTTACCATATTCCGTGATGACCATGAATTTTCACTTTCAATTGAGGAGGATGAGAATTCATGTTGTAAAGAGTTCATGTCAATGAACTTGTGTCCTGAGTAAGATGATGTAGAGCTAATGGTGTCCATATCTGAGCTGATTGAACTTCGAGGTCCTGATTCCAGACCATCATAGAAAGAAGGAAACAATTTATCCACACTTGGCCTCCCACTACTCACGAATGATATATCGGTCTCTGACGAGAGCTCATATGATTTGTTATTTGAAGCTGTTGCTCTTGTGAATGGCGACCTGCATATATTTTATTAGGTTAGTCCTTTCATTAATTGTGCATTCATATACTCTTTTTCAGTATTATAGTTGTTGCACATAAATATCTAGCCATTTAGAAGCCTTTTAACACATTAACTGAAACTTCATCTAGCGAATGCCTGGGCGAGCTATGCCCGGCAGTACAGATAGTGCATGCTTGAATGAGAGCATAGGCAAACATTTCCAAATGAAAAGTCGCATACAAACTAAACCTTCAAATACTGTTTATATGGATGCATATATACATAGATAAATACAAAGATACATACAAACAAGCATGCATACATACCTACATAGATACATACATATAAACATACGTGTTTGTGTGTGTGTGTGTATATATTAGACAAAATAAGGAGTGCAGCTAACTAGTCACTATGTACACCTCTTCCATGATTAATTGCTTTTAGCATCATTATCTACACATTTTGTCTCCCAAACAATCAGTGTACCGGAGATTACCTGATTTCAATGCCATCCAGCATACCACGGGGTGGATACTGAGTCCTCGCTGATGCTGTATTGATCAAAGAAACTTGAGTGAGTAATGACAAAAACCAGATATATTTGGTGAAAAACAAGTTTTATATATATATATATGTGTGTGTGTGTGTGTGTGTGTGTGTGTGTATAACATGAGGCTGGAACACAACCCAACAAACCTCTAGGTTGCTGGTTGCGATTGAATGTATCATTTGATTCAAAAACTTTGCTGGGTTGGTCCTGTATTTGATTACGTGAGGAAGCTTTACGGGGCAATGTTCTGGTAGCACAATGCATAGATGAGACCTTTCCTTTGCCAATGACATACACAGTGCAGAAATCCGGTGCCTCTTTTGACACGGTGCTTGGAACGTCCATGGTTCTGAATCTGTTACAAGATAGGTATATATTTAGGAGGCATGCTTAATCGTTGTCTTCCAAGAAGCACGAACTAAGGTATGACACTAAATCACTGATTACTTCATTGGTAAGGTTAGATTGGAATGTTGAGAACCAATTACCTGAGAAGGCCTTGTCTTGCTGGTGCGCCAAGTACCAAAATGTCAATTGAATTATTGATAACATAGTTAACCAGTGCTTTTGCTGTATTTGTATCCTCAATTATGACTTCATTGCATTTTAGCTGTTGCAAAGATGAAAACTGTAAGGAGAAGAAATTACGTTGCGCAAACAAAAGTAATGATATTATATAGAAGTATGACTCACATCCTTTTTTGCGCAAAAGCAGCGGAACGGTAGAAACAACTCGTTGGCTTGAGCTTCAAGTTGGCTTTTGTGCGCTTTTGCAGCCTCCTCTGTAACTTCAGATATAGGAACCATGCCCCTGGCTGCAAAATAAGATGAGAAAGCAGAACGAAGGTATTATTATAATCTTAATTAAGATCATGATATATATACATGAATAAGAGATAGATAGATAGAGAGATTGATTGACTGATATATACTTTGGCTGGAAACTGCAGTTCTATGTTTAACATGGAGCAGTGTGAGAGCTTGGCCCCTGGTGAGAATATTTTCAACTGTCCATTTGATAGCATATTGACTTGATTTGTCCTTGTCTATTGCCACTGCCACCGTATCTACGCTGTTTTGTGCTTGTCCTCTTCCCATTTCTCTTTCTGTGAATGAATTAATTAAAACCCTCAAAACTCTCCACGAAACTGATACCAGCTAGCGTGATAAGGATGTCTGAGACTCTTATAATGAAAAAAACCAGCAATGGAGAACCTCAGTATTCTTGGCACCCTCTTATGCTCTCCTCGTAAGGTCTTGATCTCGTATGACTCACCGGCAATGCCTTGGCACAGAAGCTGTGTTATTCTCTCAAAAACCAATTACGTTCACCACCCTTAATGTGTGTGTCTCTCTCTCTCAGATTATAGAATAGGCGTCAAAGTACATTATAGGATATAAGGCTTCCAATATATATGCAATGGAGGGAGCAGTTGTAACTTCAATCCACTGCCTGTTCCAAAATTAGAAAAACTTGCCCCATAAAGGTCCTAGCAGAAAATCTAGAAGAGTTGAAAACAAAGCCCAAGAATTCTAGAAGTCTTCTTGAGGCAGTTGCATGGTTCTGGCCTTTTTGACAGCAAAGACTGGTGAGTCATTTTTTTTTGACTTTCTAATACAGGAGTTATTGGATGGATAATCAGCTGCACAACTGCATGCGTAGACTAGGAGAGATAGGAAATGTCAACAAAATTCATCTTTATATTTTCGTTAGCAAGGCATATGGAAATTGTTAATTTGTTAAGACAACCACTAACTCCTAAAGCCGAAAATGTTAGAGAATGGTAACAATGTATATTTGACGCACCCTTGCGCGTAGCCTCTTCCGACACGTGGAGAAACAGATAAAATGCAATTAGAGAAAAACATATAAGTACAGCTCCAGGATGCATCTTGTAAATCATAAAGAATTGGGGAATGAGGATTGCAGGTTTTGACCATAACAGCTTTTTGCAATTGAGCTTCGATACCATGTTAGACAATCAAGATTTTCGTAAAATAGCGATTGTCTAACAATAATCACTTTTAACTTAATAATAATATATTAAAATTAACAAATTAATAAACACACTTTTCCTAAAATGACCTGATGAGCCTCTCATTCTTATAGTGACGTATAAACTGAGCAGTCCTAGCCAGGTTGTTACAGTCATATAAAATTTATTATGATGCTGCCAATTTTTCTTTTCTTTCCTTTTTGTTTGGATATGATTCTGTCATTCTGTAAGTTTAATTTGGTAATTTTAAATCGTGGAGTAATTTTTTGTTGAGCAAAATATGCATATGTGATTGACAACAGAGTCCATATAATCGCATATGTCCTCATTATATTTTGGCCTTCAAAAGAAATTTTAAGATTTTGCTGCTAGATTTGATTGCAGCCAAATTCTTATAAACCTTTTGTCATGTTCAAGATATGAGCTAGAAAATTCAAGGTTCAATATAGATCAAATTCAGGACAACGATCTTTCGACCACTCAGGACAGTGATCTGGGATTTCTTTTTCTTCAATAGTAAAGAAAGATACAGAATGCCTACATAATTAATGCTGGAAGGGTTAACTAGTTTCCTTGCATATAAACAAAGAAAAACACTCTTGTAAATCTTGTTGAAACAAGTTCGCAACTAAAATTGTGAATAGTACAAAGAAAATAAAAATAAAACAACTAAAATATGAACTAAGCTTTGGTATTTGAAAACTATATGAGACTGGCCTAAAGCATCCAAAACCCTTTTCTTCTCTTCATCATTAGCCTCTCTTAGAGCTTTGAAGATCTGATCTGCATTTATGGTCCTTTGCAATTCTTTCTCAGCAAACCGCTCAGCTGCTCCGCCATCAGCTGCCAAAATTGTTGCCTTAGAGTTGGCTCCTTCCTTCTGCATAGCTGCCAGAGTTGCTTCTAGGGCACGTCGTGTCTCTTCTAGTCTTTGCCCTTCTTTCATTTTCCACTCTTCCAGCTCAATAGCCTGTATTGAATGAATAAGATGAAAGCACTTCAATTTAGAATAATAAATGGAAAAACCAAATACAACTAATACATGAATCAAATGATAAAACAGATGAGCTTCTTTAAACCATATGCTTGTATAATTTGTTTTGCTAAAATCTTGGAAGGTAAGAGTTGAATTTTTATATATCCTTAAAACCATGAGAGTAAAACTATGTGATTGTGAACACATAAGTGAATATTTTTAGTAATTGAAATGTTTATCTCATTAAGTAGCTAGGAAGATTAGAGAGGGTTCTAGGGTAGATAGGACCTTCTGTTTTGCTGCCACTGCTTCTTTGCAGGCTGCATGGTACATGTCCATCGTTTGCTTCAGCTCCACTCTAAGCCTTTTCATCTCATCTTCCATTTCATCCTGCAAGTACAAGTTTTCACATGCATGTCCAAATTAAGTCCACATTCAAATGATTCTAGTTGTCTGACTTTTACTCATATCCTTTTTCAGATGACTTACGAATATTTTCTGTGACAGGAATGGCATTCCTTGGGCAGTTGATGACAGTTCATGTGGAATGTTCAAATCAAAACTGCCGAAATCTGATTCTAGTTTTGCAATACTCTCCAAGTAATTTGAGGATGCTGAAAGAACTCGGCTCATATCAGCAGACCCAAAATTTTGGTAAAAAGATATGCTATCAGTACTTGGTCTTCCAAGCGAGATGTCATTGTCAGACAATGAGACCTCATCATATGCTCTGTTGCTTGGAGCTCTGCCTCTAGAGAATGACATGCATCAACCAAATCAATTAATCAATAAATGAGTCAAATAAGTAAAAGATAGATTCATAGCAGCAGTTTGAGTGCAGTCCAGAATGCGGACGACCACACTTAGATGCTTATATATGTTGTCAAGTTGTGAATCTGAATCAGATTGACTCTTGCTTACATGTGATTAGATTCTTCTGCCCTCTCATCAGCTGCTCGAATGTTTGGTAGAGGACGAGAGGCTTCGCGCCCTTCGCATACCCTACCTTGTTTGATGGTGTATACAGAGCAGAAATGTGGTGCCAACTTTAGGACTCTGCCTGGAATAGACTCAGATGCCTTGAACAGACGCCTGATTGAACAACATGTTTCGACCATCAGATGAGTTTCAACACATAGAAACCCAGAAACACACACACACACACACACACACACATATATGTATATATATCAGTTCTCTTATCGGAATGTCCAGATTTTCTTACCGTACGGACGCCATTGTTGCAGCTATATTTCTTACATCTAAAGCTTGTTTTCTATACCCACTGCTGCTCGTTGAAGCATATGAGTACAAAAGACAGGGAGGAAAGCAGAGAGGAAAACTGAAAGAAACAATGGCGTCCATACGATAAGAAATTCTGGACGTCCTGATAAGAGAAAATGTGTATGTATGTGTTTATATGAATACCTAGAAAACCCAATCCTGGATGTAGCGGTAGCACCAAGAACAATAAACTCAATGCCATTGCGGGAGATGTAGTCAAGTAATGCCTCGGCCACATCTTGATCCTCCAGCACAACAGTCTCACATTGTACCTAATAATATTAATTAGTTGCACAAATCAATCAACGACATGATCTACTTATTATGATTCCAAATCATTCAATATAGCTAGCTTCTTGTAATAAAAAAATCCAAGTTAAGAAATGAACTCACTCGTTTGCGAGTACAATAGCACCGAAATGGAAGCATGAAGTCCATGTTTGGAGCTTCATGAGCTTGCCCTTCATTAATTGCGTTGTTCCCATGCCACCCAGAAACCAAAATGTTTCAATCATGCTTGAAAGAATACTACTATTTGTACCATCTCAACATACGAAACTCACTGCACTTATGTGAGACATGTGAGTCATGCGTCTATTAGAGGACAAATTATTTGGTCTGGTGAGACCACCGCACTCGTCCGGCTGAAAACATAAACAAAGAATTTGGTCTTGTGTATGTCTATGGGCGAATGAGTGAGGTGATCTTGTTGGACCAAAGAATTTCTCCTCCTATTAGAGATATGATACAACACCTAGACAAATAGTTATTCATCACGCATCATATATATATACATGAGAGAGAGAGAGAGAGAGAGAGAGAGAGAGAGAGATACCAGTTGCATGGGGGGTATTATTGGAATTAGAAGGGTTAATAACATGGAGAAGCTTGATAGGAGTATGACGGGTAGATCCATAGAGAAGATGATTAACAGCCCATTTCAAAGCATTTTGGCTGGCAATGCCCTCGTCTACGGCCACTGCTATTGTCCTTACGCCTTGATGATTTCCATTATCAACAATATTCGACATTCTCTCCCTCCTTGATCCCTCCTCCTCCTCAACTCTCGAATTCAGAGATAACTTCTGCTTCATCAAACATGCAGACACGACAACATAAATAAATTTTTACACAAAATAAAAAATCAGAACCTTTCAATCAGAAAAATAGGAAATTTAATGAAAAGCTCTCTGTCTCTCTGTCTCTCCCCCTTCTGTACTCTTAAACCGCTCACATTCTTAAGGGCCATGGAAGTAATTAAATAAACCTACTAGAAGCTAATTAAACCAAACATTAACTTGGTTCCGAGCTAAACCCCATATATGATATATGCATGCAGCATGATTAGCGGGAAGTTAATTAATTAGAATTAACTTTGACCCTAACTAGAGAAGATGCATGCCAAAACGACCCGTTGGTCAACATTTCTAATATTAACCAAGTCTATCAACACGGTTAATCAAAGTATTCGGTACGTACCGTTACGTTAGAGAAGCCTCCCATGCAATCCAAGAAGTTGAAGAACAATGAAAAGAAGAAGAAGAAAAACGACATTAGTATTGTTCAATGACTGATCAATAGAATTCATTTTTATGGCCCTGTTGTATAAGAATCAGAGTTCTCCTAATTATTAGGATCAAACGACATTAGTAGTTATTTTACTTAATTTATGTTAGTATTGAGAGAGAAATTGACAACTGTTAAGGAGAAACACTTCAAGAATCAAACTACAGAAAAAAACTCTCTTCAAAAAAGTGCTTTAAGTGCTAAACTACTCTAATGCGGGGGAGGGGGGATTGAACTCGGGTGCAAAAGGGCAAGCATGTTACCTTAGGACAACTAGCCTAACCCACGTAATGATTATTTTCATCAAACTATATATTTCATTATTACTTTTTCATTATGTAGGGGTTATACTCAATATTATAATTGGAAGAATTAGAATTGTACATTTATTTATTTATATTGCTGTTTTTAGGGAAAACTTCGCAATTTGCAACATGTGAAAGGCAAATTCTATTTGCTTAGGAATATTTTATGTGTCCATACTTTTTTCATAAAATGTTTATGGGCTTGTAAGGATCTGATTAATATTAGATGACTAATGGTTATTAGAATCAATTTATATATGTTATGAAATATAAATATAGTACTTGTTTAAACCTAGAGAGCTTGCATATAAAGCCAAATCTTATAGACAAGCAGTTCATTGTTCTCTCATCCTGGGGGATTTGGGACGGAGATACAAATCAAGAGATTGATCATGGCAAAGGAGAAAGAAAACTTATTTTGATGATATTATCAACCAACAATCTTCGTCATGTCGCCTTCGCTAGCACAAGAAGATAAAAAGTCTTCATCGCCATGATTGTTATCTCTCTCTTTCACCTCTTCAATCCTCTCCACAACCTCTTTCAAATCCCATCTCTTCTCCACCTCCCCTTCACAACAACCCAACCCAATGTTCAAGAGCTTGAGCATCTGCCCCTCACTATTCTTGCCTGCCCCCATATCTCTATCAAACACCTGACTGAACCACTCGTCCTGAGGCACCGAGTTGACCCAGCTTGCCAAGTCCTCCTCACTTCCCTTCCCATGCTGCAAAAAGTTGGTAGGCAACTTCCCAGTTAAGATCTCCAAGATCAGCACACCGAAGCTCCACACGTCAGTCTTCTTCGTGATGCGCTTGCTTTGCATGTACTCTGGGGACTTGTAGGCCACCATGAGGGTGTGAGCATGCTCTTGGTTCACCACCGGGATGAGGCCGTAGTCAGTGAGGAGGGGCTCGTAGGACTCGTTGAGAAGGACATTTGAGGATTTGAGATGGCCGTGTGATGCAACTAGGCTGGGAAGCTCATGGTAGAGATATCGTAAGCCCTGGGCTACTCCTTTGACAATCTTCAAACGGGTTTGCCAGTCTAAGCTTGGTTGGCCTACGGTTTGGTGTCCTGATGAGAAAGTGCAAATAACACCAACCATTGATTAGGCATTACTTCAATCAAAGTGTTTTTGAATTCCATTTAATTTGCAAATGTATTTTTTTACCATGCATAAACTCATATACCAAAATATGTGTATCTTATAAAAAAAAAAAAAAAACTAGATATAACACTTCCACGAATTGTAAGTGATATTCATTTGTATCGGAAATTATTAGTTTCACTTTCATTAGAGATGTGATCTACAATATAGTCAGAATATATGATCTTTATGTCAAAACCAATTGATACATACTTAACATACCCAAAAGTTGTGTGATTGCTTATGGGAGAGGGGAAAGGGAAAAAGGGAAAGGCATGATACAACTAAGATACAAATGTAAGACTGTCCATAACCATATATGAACATTAAACATGCAAATTACTATAGGAGCAATACTATATGGACCACATTATAAACCACATCCCCAATCGAGACAAAATCCACCCATACGAATGCATCGTGTATTAAAATGCAGTATACAAATAGTTTTATTATTAAAATAATAGGATGCATCAACTTATTTGTAGAATAGCTAGTATAGAGAATATGATCGTGCAATGCATCTATATGTTTAAAAAGGAACTTACCATGAAGATGAACAGCCAAGCTACCCTTTTGAACATGATCAGAAATCAAGAGCTTCTCTTCCTTCTTATAATAATAAGCCACAAGTGGAAGCAAATTAGGATGTGCCAATCTCCCTATCCTTCTCATATGCTCTTGGAACTCCTCTTTTCCTACATTGTTCATCTGCTTATACCTCTTCACAACCATCACTGGTCCACTCAGCAAAGCAGCCTTGTAAGAAGACCCAAAACAACCACTGCCCAACACCTCGGCAGAGGCTCTCAGCAAGTCTTGCATATCAAACCTCTCCCTGTCATCTCTCACAAAGGAAAGCTTCAAGCTCTGATCAGCCTTGTTATGCTTTCCATTTACTTCTCTCCCATTCAAGTTTTCGGGTGAGCCTGGAGCACTTGCTTGTTGCTCTGGTTCGTTTCGAACTGATCTGTTCTGGACAGTTGCTGTTGATGGCGGTGGATCCTCTATTGATGATTCAGATGCTTTGTTGCGGCGTCTGAGGATGAAGAACGCTGCAATAGCAATGGCTGCGAGTGCTACTATTACAATGATCACAACCACCACGATACTCCAGGTTGCGGGCTTCTTTGAGGGGCAAGCTTTTAATGTCCCTCCACATAGATCTTCATTACCTGCATGTTCAGGCGGCAAACTGTTAATTTTCTACTTCTTTAAAGAACAAAATTTTGTTGTCTATGTGCACTCTATGAGTTTGGTTTGCTTAAAAAGAGGCTTATAACCTAATTCATCAATTAATGTTTGAGGTAGCTAGGAGGAAGTTTCTTTTATGCAGATTCTTAAACTCCTCATGTCATTAATCTTGAATATGCAGTGTGACTCCAATGCTTTACGACTTAAACCATCGTAATCCTAACCCGTTTCCCACCCTACCTCACCAACCTGTAAGTTCTTCTTAGGGGGGGAAGGTGTTTACACCCCAAATAGGCATTTCATAAGCTAAAAGAAGGATGCTGAGAAGGAAGGATACGCCTGACTTTTCTTTACGTAACTTAATCCACGACTCTCGCTTTTCTACTTTTGGTTGAATAAGAAGGATATGGATAAAAAGAAAGAAAAAAAAAAAAAAAAAAGAACCACCCTTTGTTTGATTCTTGAACGAAAGGAGAGGGAAATGCATTATAAACGCAGTTAGCAGAATACATGAGCCTTTTATTTCTTCTATTGATTCTTTCAGGGGATCTTGAGAGAGAGAGAGAGAGAGAGAGAGAGGAAGAACTTATGACTCACCAGCAAAGGAGCTTGCATCCAATTTTCGAAGGCCTTCCGGGATCTCACCCTCCAATTTGTTGTTAGACACATTAAAGGTTGTGAACCCGGCGGGCTGCCTAAAATCTGGTATTTTGCCGTTAAATTTGTTATTTTCAAGACTCAGCTCCACCAGCTTGTCCAAACCTGTCAACGACCTAGGAATCTCCCCCGTAAACTGATTATTCGCCAAGTGAACCTTCTTCAACGAAGACATTCCCCCGAACCAATCGGGTGGAATGGCCCCGGAGAATTTGTTATCGGACAAGTAGACAGTTTTTAAGGCACTAAGTTTCCTCAAATCAGGCATGGGACCATCAAAGTTGTTCTTCATAAAGCTTATGGTTCGTAAGTCAGGCAGGTCCTTGAGTATGTCCACATTGATGTCACCATTGAGCCCCATTTTCTCAAGCTGCAGACCCCAAACTCTCCCCTTTCCATCGCAACGAATTCCAACCCAATTCGACACTGCTCCGTTGCATGGAATGGACGAACTTTTCCAATTGGTCAATCCATCCGTGTTCTTCAAGGAATCCTTGAACTTGAAAAGGGTTTCGCTATCAGAAGCCCCAGCAGAAGAGGCAACACGAACATTCAACAACACGAGAACGAAGAACATGATCATGGTACGAGACAACGATGATGCGCGAAGCATCATCATTACCATGATGTTCTTCTTGTTACGTTGTTGTTGTTGTTGTTGGTGGTGGTGTTCCATAATGGTGGTGTAGGTACGTAGCATAATAGGGTTGTACGTACACGCACAAGTAGGGGCAGCGTGTGCGCCCTTTTAGAGGGGGCTGCGCTGCAAAAATTGAGTCAGGGTGCGGGTGAAGAAGGATTTGAAGGTTGATAGTGGTTAATTTTGATGGCATTGAGAGAGAGAGAGGGAAG